AATTTACCTCTAATCCCAATTTCCCATAACACATCATAGATGAAATCCCAATGAAGTCTGTCGTAGGCTTTGGAGAGGTCAATTTTCCAAGCAATGAAACCCTTCTTACCTTTAGAATTTCTAAATTTATGAAGGACCTCTTGAGCAACAATAATGTTGTCAACAATCTGCCTGCCAGGGATGAAGCTAGCTTGAGCAGGACTGACAATCTTCTGCATGAGAGGCCTGAGTTTCTGAACAATGATCTTAGACACCACCTTGTATAAAGTATTACATAGGCTGATAGGCCTTAGTTGAGAAACAGAGCTAGGACTAGCCACTTTCGGAACAAGGGTAATCAAAGTGTCATTTAAAGCATCAGGTATGCTAGCAGAGCTAAAACAACCAGCAATTAGCTCAATAAAGGTACCCTGACAGAGATCCCAGAAATCATGATAGAATTTAGCAGGGAAACCATCCGGGCCAGGGGCTTTTAAGCTCCCAATACTGAACAAACAATCCTTTATGACTTGAGGATTAATATCACAATTGAGATTACCCAACTCAGACGTCCCTAATCTAGGAAAAAGCTGGGGAAGATCAGCATTAGAGTACCTCATTGTTTGAACAGCAAAAAGAGTCTTGAAATAATCAACAATGATATTTTCCATATCTTTTTTATCATTAGTCCACATACCTTGAGCATTAGTAAGGCCTTCCAGTTTGTTCCTTCTTCTACGAATAATGGTAGACAGATGGAAAAATTTGGTATTACGGTCCCCTTCTCTCAGCCAAGTGTTCCTTGATTTCTGCAGCCAAAAAAGTTCTTCTTGATCAAGTAAAGCTTGGTAATCACTGGCAAGATCTTTTTCTAAATCAACTAGAAAAGGAGAGTATCTTCTGCAAAGAGCTTTTTGGATACCACCAATTCTAGCCAACAAAACTTTCTTATTTCGAAACAAGCTACCAAACACATCCTTATTCCAATCAACAAGAGCTATAGAAAGGTCTTTAGTTATTTGAAGGATATTTCCAGTACAATCAGCCCATTTCTCAGCCACAAAGCTCCGAAAGGTAGGGTGCAGGAGCCACATGGCTTGAAATCTAAAAGGCTTGACATTAGCGCACGGGAGGTGAGATGACTGAAGGCTTATCAGCAGAGGACAATGATCAGACTTGACCCTAGGAAGATGTCTGACAAAGGCCTCAGGAAAATTATGTCTCCAATCAATGTTGGAAAGACCACGATCCAATCTTTCCCAAGTGAGGACACCATTATCATTTTGTCTACACCAAGTAAACTGAGCACCAATAAAGCCAAGATCAATCAATTGATTTCTATCAATCCATTCCACAAGCCCACCCCGATGAGAAAAGGGGTTACCACCACATTTTTCAGAATTATTGACCAATTCATTGAAATCCCCAGCAATCATCCAAGGAAGGTTCGAAGCTGAGGCAATCCCATCCAGATAACTCCATAATTGTCTTCGAATGCCAGGGCAAGGGTGCGCATACACTGCAGTAAAAAGCCAATCACCATGATTCATTTTAACTAGAGCTGTAATAGACTGCCTAGAGTAGGCAACTATGTCAATGCAGGAAACCAACTCATTCCAAAGCATCCAAAGGCCCCCTGAAAAACCATTAGCATCGACAACATGATACTTAGAAAAACCAAGTTTCTTAATAACATTGAGGGCAGTGTTGCCACTAATTCTAGGCTCCAAAATAACAAGAATCTCAATCTTGTGAATTTTAACTAAATCTTTCATAATTCCAGGGAATTTTTTGCTCCCTGCACCTCTTACATTCCAGACCATAATCATGATGATGGGAAAAAGGTAAAAAAGGAAAACTTGAGGTAACAACCTCATTGACTGGAAGAGTTCAATACTTCTACCAAGGTAGAAGCAGCACCAACAACTCCATTTTTAACATCTAGCATAGCTTTTTTAAGTCTAGCAGCATCCAAATTAATGGTAATCTGAGGGGCAGATTTATCCCCATGGTCATCATCCATCTCATCTTCTGGAATATCATCCATTTTATCTGCAGAAGGGCCTGGGTCAGGAGGCTCAACCCCAGGTAAAGTAGGAGGAATAGACTTACTAGATTTAGGAGAGAGCTTGGATTTCAAACTTGCCACAACGTCCCCCAACGTGGCTTCTTGAAAATCAATACTCCTAACTTGGAAACCAGTCGATTTTCCAGTCACAACACCTTTTAATTTTCTCTTTGAGATAGCGCGAGCATCAAGACCAACTTTGGTAGTGGGGGCGCTTGGAATAATTTTCTCAAAACCAACCTGGGTAGTTTTCGCCACACCATCATTCGAGATATCTCCCAGGGCTAGACGGGATTTACCTTTTGGCTTATTCTGACCCTTAGACTTGGGGGTTTTAGTAGACCCAATAGATGGCATTTGGGTTACATCCTCAATAACTTCATTCCCAATAGAGACAGGGGTTTCAACTCTGATATCAGAGTTATCTAAGACATCGAACCTTGACCCAGAAAGGTAAGCACCTCGTTCACCTTGAACCTCATTTTTCTTTGGAGCAGTCTTCTTAGCCATTGAGTCAACACCAGCCTTAATAGGCTTTTTACCCTTCCTATTCTGAACCAGGCTCCAAGGTCCTATCAAGGTGTTCTTAGCCACATGGGGATCAATCTGAGGCTTAATAGAGGAGCTTGCCTCATTAGCAGGGAGGGGGGATTCACTCAATAACACTTCATCCATGGGTTGGACAACATTGTGGGCATTATCAGTATGAGGAGCCTTAATCACCGAGGGGCAAACGTTTTTATTGTGACCATAACACCCACATGCAAAGCACACCAAATGAATGCCTTCATATTCCAAGCCATACCAGTTATCCTCCACTTGAACAAAGGCTTTCAGAGGTTGGGTTAGATCAATCTCAACACACACCCTAGCATATTTCCCACGAACCTGGGCAACAGTATTAGAGTCAACCTTGAATGTGGTGCCCAGTAAATCCCCAATACGAAGCATGGCCTCAGGACGGAACCATTCAACATGAAGGCCAATAATACGGACCCATACAGTCATCCTTGTCACTTGTTCCACCAAAGGGTCAAAACCAGGCTTCCACCGTTGCATAACCAAGTATTGCCCAGCAATTACCCAAGGACCACCACACAAAATTGCTTTCATGTCCTCTTCAAGCACAAATCTCACAATAAAGAAACCATTTTCTAAATCAACAAGTTTCCAAGGACCCTTAATCATACCCCATCTCTGTTGCAAACGAGCAAGTACAAAATTATACGTGTGGGACTTACCCATAAGCTTGACGATGATGGAAGTGCGCCAAGGCCGGTAGAGTCTTTCTTTAACCTGTTCAGAAAACTTAATGCACGGGCCTTTTTCACCTTCTGAAACAATAAAATCTGCAGCCTCAATTGTGAGTTTATCTTCTTCCATCCCTGCAAACCCAGGTCGGGTAGAGCCATGCCCACCTTGTTTTAGAACAGAATCCCTGAAATTCAAAATCACAGGAGGAGGAGAGCCAAAACCCACATCAGTCACCATATCTCCAGACGAGTTGAGATCGGGGTCGGTGGTTCGAATCCGTTTCTTTCCCACTGCTTCCAGCTTGCTCTCTGGTTGGAGGGCAGAGAAAACAAATTTTGGTGGAGTCGCCGTCGTTACAGATGGTAGTCGAGAGAACACACTGGAAAAAATCGCCGCGTGAGGCGCGTTCTCTTCATCGCGTGTCGCGCGTGGCGTTTCAAGCTGCATTTTCCTATTCTTGATAGTTGTGTGAGGTGTTATGTATATTGATGGTTTCTTACTATATAATGAGGAATACTAGCAACCTCCTCTCCAACCTTCTCTTTTGAACTTTCTCTATTTTCCTAATGACATATGCCTCTTTTGTTACACTTAAAACAATGTAACTAATGTATGAGGCAACTTATTTTTTGTTTTCCAAATTTATCGTTTGCCTTAAATGTATTGACACTTGACATTATTAAGTCCAAAAATTAAAAACAAAGACGAAAAACAAACAACCCAGGAAGCAGACCCAACCCAACTCGATGGCAACCTTCCTTTCCACACCGACAGCCAACTGTCAACTCTCTCTCTCTCTCTCTCAACATGTAATCATTAACTCCCCTTGCCACTTGAAGGCATTGAGAAAAATGAGATGAGAGAAGGTGGGCCTTCAATCCATTAAACCCATATCTAATCTGACACCTTCAATTTATTCCAAATCAAAACCCCAAATATCTCAATAAAAATTATCATCCTTTAATTTTCCATTTATCATCTTGATGAGGTCTTCAATATTTTCCATTTATCATCCTTTAGTTTTCTTATTTGTTAAAAATTATGTTGAGTTGGTAGAACTAGATTAGTTTGGACCATGGATAATTGACGTTACTGGCTGTGAGGAGGGAGGGTTGCCGTCGAGTTGGGTAAGATGCGTGGCTGTGAAGGTCGAAAATTGTTGCTGGGTAGTTGGATTTTCATTTAATTTTTGTTTTAATTTCTTTTTAATTTTACTTAAGAATTAAGAGTGAAAATGGGGGGAGAAATGTATACTCCAAAAAGAGAGCCAAAACTTGTATAAACGCTTTAATTTTTATCAAGGGTAGATATGAAAATATAATTAATATTTTTTTATGTAATTAATGACATTGTTTTAAGTGACAAAGAAATGATATATGTCATCAGGAGAAGGGAGAAGGTTCAAAAGAGAAGGTTCAAGAGAAGGTTGCTAGCATTCCCCCTATATAATTAAGGGTCCTATGGTTCTACATCACTTCCCATAAATATATATATAGGGAAGGAAAATAGAGATAATGACTTGAGAGACTAGGAAATAGAAGATGAACAATTTATAATAAAATTAATTTAATATGAAAACATACATGGAAATTAGAATGTGAATCATGAAATTAATACTTAACTTTGAAAATAGTGAGGTTGCAAGACTTACAGAAAATCTTGATTGGAAGATTTTATTGAAAGACTGAAGCACACAAAGCACTCATATCTTACAAGTATTTTCTCAGGGTTTGGATGCTGAGAGAACTTTGAAACTGAAAGCTAACTTACAATCTTACAACCTGTTTACAAATGACTTGAGCTTACTAATTTATAGGATTCAGAACACATTGGATTCTTAGAATTGAAATGATGATTCTGTCGGAGGCTCTGCTTTTACTTTTAACTTTTACTTGTCGGGGAATCTGCTTTTACTTGTCGGGGAATATGCTTTTACTTTAACTTTTGCTTTCGGAAAAATTGCAGAGAATTAGTCTTCACTCAAATCATAAGGATCCTGACTATCGGGATAGTCTACCCATCTGAATTTCTGGGTTAATTTCTTTTGACTAGATGGTAGGCTCTGCTTTTGACTGGAGGATGACTGGGATTTAGGGCTGGCATCTTCATCATCTTCATCTTCAATCTGAGTGACTTGTTATAGAATTTGTCTGGCTAACTCTTTTAACTCTAATTTGGATCTTCCTTCGATTGGGAGGGAAGAGTAAGAACTGCTTGGGGAAGACACTTTAACTGGAGTCTGAAGAAGAGGGAATTCTTTATTGACTTGATCAATTAATCTTTATGCTGAAAATCTATCCCACCATTTAACTTTGAAATGTCGGGAGGGAACTCAGGTGTCCCAATTAACTTGATAAGACCATTTTAAAATCCAGGGAACTTTGTACTTGGCTACAAAATGGAGAAGGTTGGGGAAGAATTTGTCTGACTTTTGAAATTTATATTTTTGAGAAAAGTAATTGACTGACTCTTGTAATTGTGAAGGAAGGATTTCAAAGAGGGGACCATGGATTTCCCACCAGTGAAGGAACCAATAAGGAAACTGACTTTTGAATTTGCTATCGAAATTGTTAAACCAGGAATGACTGAAATTAGGTGTTTGGTGGAGGAAGATTGTGTACCAGGCATCAATGTAATCAACATAGTTATAATAGAGTGTTGACTGGAGGGGTTTTTGATCATAAGGGTGTTTACTCCATTCTTCTTGACTAAGGATAAGACGAATGTATAGGGAATGGAAGAGGATATTATTAGAGCAGTTCCAGCAGGTCAGGCTGGGGGGGGGGGGGGGGGGTTTGGGCCAAAAACATGTTTCCAGCAGCAAAATGCAGCCCGGGTAGGAGGTGGGACCCAGCGAACTGGGCTGGCCCGAGGGCAAGTTCAGCCCCAGGTCCAAAACGAGGGCGAGCTGACGTCACGATGACGTCAGCGCTACAGAGGTGGGACCCAGCGAACTGGGCTGGCTTGAGGGCAAGTCCAGCCCCAGGTCCAAAACGAGGGCGAGCTGACATCATGATGACGACGTCAGTGCTACAGTGCATTGCTACAGTACTACTCTGCCATGTGTCGCGTTCTGGGCTGTCTGATCAGAATTTTTCCTCAAATCCAACGGCAGCCAATTTTTGTGCAATAAAAAAAATGAAAAAAAATCAAAATTTTAAAAAAAAAATACTGAATTTTTTTTCTATAAATAACAACCAATACTCTTCACTTTTAACACCAAATCCTCGTACATTTTATTCTTCTTTCTACTATTATTCAAGTTTTGAAATGTATCTTAAATTTGAAACCGAAAATCTTATCCGATATGAATAGTATTGACACGTAGGAACCCAAAAATCTTACCCAAAAATATTATCCAAAATAATTGTTTAAGTAAAAAAAGTTGTGAAAAAAAAAAAAAAAGAATAGTAGTTGCCATGGCAAGGGTTTGACTGCTGGAAACACACATAGCTTAATATGGCAAGGGCAGCCACTATTCACATGAATAGTGTCAGCCCT